CAAATCGAAAATATCCCTCGACTTGTTGTGTAAAACCACCTAAGGTGAACTTAGGGTTTGAGGTTTCAACAGTAAAAAATGCACTTTTGTTGCACCGGGTCACCGAGCGTAGTCATTCGTTCACTGCGCTCGCTCGAACAATTAAAAACTAGAACATTCCTCGATTAAACAACACGACCAAAGTATAAGTCACAAATTATTTATGTCGATGACGTAATTTGGATACTACCTATAGGCTATAGTGGATAAAATATATATAGACCAAAAAACCATTTAGATAATATTATAAGCAATTAACAAAATGATAAGCTAAAACCTACCTAAAAGCTTCAGTATTGCACATACATTACACAGTGTATTTGTCACGTTGCATTTTATTTGAACATTTATACAATTATTTTAAAAATGAGTACACCGCACCTAAATTTGTTCGATATAAAAGAATTGTCTTTGAAAAACGATGGATTGGGGCTGATAGAGATATTACAAAGTTTCGGTGCATTACCCACCGAACCAAAATGTGTAAGAAACCACGTAATGAAAATTACAAAAGACGATGCTTCAATAGACAAGTACAAATGGAAATGCCGAGAGAAACAAAATAAGAAAAATAAAAATTGTAACTACAGGTAAATTAAAACAATTATTAATTAAAATTAAATTAAGCTAAATAGGTACCTAGAAATTAGAATATCATTAAAATTAAATTAATATAAATTTAAAATAAAAAAATAATATAACAATATTATGTGTATAGCATGACATTGAGAAAAAATACGTTTTTTGCCAAGTCCCACCTATCGTTGTTGGACATTTGTGGTTTCGTAAATTTGTGGGTTATGAACTGCTTATTTCCGGTGATCCAACAACAAATAAGGTTAGCTAACCAGACTATGGTTGACTGGGCTTCCTTTTGCCGTGAGGTGGTGTACGACAGTATGATTGTCAGGAAGGTGATGATTGGTGGACACGGACATACGGTTGAAATCGACGAATCAAAATTTGGCAAAAGAAAGTACCATCGAGGGCACCGAGTAGAAGGGCAATGGGTTTTCGGCGGTTACGAACGAGAGACAGGTAATTGTTTCATGGTGCCAGTTGAAAATCGTACCGCCGAAACACTATTAAAAATTATTAAGGACTGGGTGAAACCTGGAACCACAATAATTTCAGATTGTTGGAAGGTATTTTTAGTAAACTTGTAAAAATCAAAAACGTATAAACTTTTACTCGGCTTTTTTATTTTAGGCATACAATACTTTAAACAATGAGGGCTACGTTCACCTTACGGTGAATCACAGACTGCATTTTAAAGATCCAGAAACTGGAGTCCACTCCAATACCATAGAAGGATCATGGAAACACGCTAAGGCGTCTTTGTCACAGTATTGTAGGAAAAAGGAGTTTTACGCGGGGTACTTAGCCAAGTATATGTTTTTAAAAAAATGCAAAAGTTTTAATTTAGATGCCACAATAGAATTTTTTAAACAAGCCGGTATATTGTATGACATTGGTAGCGGCATAAACGATAACGAGTACGACGACAACGCAAGCGGCGGCGACGACGACGATAGAGATAACAACGATAGAGATAGCCACGACAGTAACGACGACGAAGCACCTGCATATTCGTTATTTTTATAACTTAAAATATAATATATTATGTTATAATATAGGTAATATTATTTGTATTTATTTATAACACTGCATAACCCAAATACCTCTTCCTAGTAACGGAAAGTTGATACAAACTTACCTATTTAATTAAACCGTAGAAAAACTCAAATTTCAAATTGCTATAACTCAAAAACTATTTATCTGCGCCGATTTTCGTTTGCACCACGCTTTTCAGCGTAAAAAAATACTTGAGTTAAAAAAAAAAATCTAAAATTTAAGGTGCCCGGTAAAGTAGAATTATGCCGAAAATATATATTAATATAATATAATATTATATATTATATATATAATATAATCCAAATATAGGAACCCACGATCCACGAAACTGTGTTGAAAGCACAACTTTACCCATGCGAACACAGGCTGGAACTGTACTGGCCGTGGGATAGGTTTAATATGCGCCACTCCGTCTCAATCAACGTTCTACAAAATAGTCCACGCGTGTGCTGCGCGTGGCGTGTACATGGGCTAGGTCCAATTTGCGCCGGCTCTACTTGAGTTCTCCGTGAGCTAGGGTCGCCGACAAATAATACGGGACAAAGCGTGCAGAGCACCTGCCGCCGCCGTTATTATCTATGTGCTGCCGCCGTCACTAACTATCTACCGCCGCCGACCGCATTACTTACTATCGTCAACCTCCACGTTCTCGGCTACCTTCCGGAGGAAAGCTAAATCGCACCCATCAACTGTCGCCGCCGTCGCAAGTCACGCACACGTTATCGGCTACCTCCCGTGGGAAAGCTAGAGCGTGCCGCGCACTTACCGCCGTCCTGCGACAATAATACGAATAGAACGCAGTATCATCATAGTCAGGCATTAAGGAATATTTTATCTGAATATAGAATAGAAAGTTAAGTCTGCGAAACTGTGAGTAGCTTAATATTACTAATTGTGAATGGGTATATAGTATTGTACAATCCGCGAGTTATATTGTATATTAAAAGACGTATTACTAACGTAAAAGTATACGTAAATATAATACTAAATTCTGTTTGTACTCTGATTTCTTATATGTTTATGTTGTATACCAAAGTTCTATAATTAATGTGTTATAAATCAATAAAGATTAATATGATTACCTAAAAAACACCGGCATTGTGATTTCTTTATATATTTGTAAAGGATTAGGTACAAAACCTAACCGTTACACAGGTATCATATTGTGATAGTCAAATATATTCAATGTTAATAGATTCCTTCAATGATGATATATGTTTCAATTTCATTTCAAGTTTAGTGAAAAATGGAATTACATCCTCAACTTACACCAAAAGGACTGAAATTATAATGTATTATTTAAAACCAGAATTACAACTGACGCAGTATAACATCACATTAGCTAAATGTGATGCTAACATGGGTCATATAATAAAAGCTTTGCTAAATGATTACCCAACAATTGAAGAATTTTCAAAATGTTCTTCCAACATTTGCATAAAAACATCCAAGTGGCCAGTGATGTATTTAACATATCAGATTGGAAACAATGGAAACTTAGATGGCTTACAGAATTTCATATAAGAACGCACTGGTGTGGAGTATTTTAAATGTTGTGAGAATTGTGGTGGAATGGAAACTGTCCATTCAAAAATATCAACAAACCATTTATTTAATATTAATAAACGTTGATAATATTTTATATTTTTGTAGATCAAATGTGAATGTTTAGTAAACAAATGACGTTTAAGTTTACCGGGCCAGTTCGTGTTCGACTCCCGTCAGAGCAACACGCATGTTTTTCCGTATCGCTCCCGTATCTTTAGCTTCGATAGCGTAAGGACGAGTCTCACATAGCAGCCAGTAGGTATTATGTTTATTACTTTTCCTATAACGCGCAACGTCCAAATTTAATTATCACAACACCGCGCTAGATAACGGCCGCCGTCGCACGCGGCTGTTGCCTGCCAAGGTCATTTGCTAGCATATCAAATCTATTTCTAATGGGCCCGAAATTATCTCCAAAGTCCATACACCTGTACAGTCCAACGATAAATCACCGTCGGCTTGCACCAACAATGAACCTAATTGGAAAATAGTCCACCACAACCACAACCGATCACCACAGCAAAATTCCCCTCCTACTAAAAAAACATACTCTAATATATTTTTCGCATCCAAAAACCGCTACGCACCGCTCTCGCCTACCTTGGCAATTGAAAATGAAACTCAACGTATGGAAATCTCATCTGAACAGCCCACTGATATCAATAATGATACGAATACTATCAAAATAAATCTTCCACCCCCTATCTTCATTGAAGCGTTTTGGGAGCTTTTACTAATGAGTATATAGATAATATTCTATACAGTTGTAGGAAAGTAGGGGTGGCTGGGTGATCATTGGGGCCTGCCACTTGCCTGATTATCCCAAAAAATGTCTATAATTTAAAAATTAAATTAAAATTTGTTCTGAATAAAGTAATATAATATAGGAAAAATATTACCTCAAGACAGTCCTGATTCAATTTACCAGTTAATACATAGGAAAAATTGCAATTATTTAACAAATAATTCACTAAATCAATAGTAGACTGTAAACTTATTCGTAATCCTTCTGCAGTTGTTTTTGTCAAAAATTCATTTTTTGTAATAAAACCATTACTCAGGTTAGATTCCCATTCATTCAGCCATATTAATGACCTATTCAAAATCTGTTAATTATAAAAGACATATTGTGTGAATCAAAATGTATTATAGGTATACCAGTTGGATGTCCACATCAACATACATTAATTACTTATAATTAGATTTACATCAACAACATATATTACCTTAATAGAATTAAATCCAATATACATTAAATGTTTTATTTTATTTTATTTTTATTTTATTTATTTGTATAAACGCCAAACGGCTTTTTACATATAGCAATAACGATATTACATAAATTAACGTTAGTGATAAGAATAAAATACATAAATGATAATGTTAAACAATATACTAAGAAATAAGAATAATAATAATTATAATAGGAAAATTACACACGTTGGATGAATACGAAATTTAAGGCCATATATCAAAATTATTATTATTTAAATTGCGCATAGCTCTAACCAAAGGATCATTAGATAAAAAGTTTGAACGGGAAGTTGGAATGTGAAAGGAATCGGTTGATCTGGTATTGGCGGTAGGAACTCTAAAGCTATTAACGCTCAAGGAGACATGGAGCATCAATTTTACCCTGGATTAATTTTAAAAGGAAGTTACGATCCGTAATTAGTCGCCTGTCTTCGAGGGAGAGGAGATTAAGCGCGCCCATGACAGGTTGGCATGAATGTTGGGGGTGTTCAATTTTTAATAAGAAACCTGCATAGCTTAGGAATCTAGTCTGGACTCGTTCAATAAGTTTTATTTCCGTTTTAAGATGAGGATTCCAAATGACTGACCCATAGTCGAGAATTGAACGAATAAGAGCAGAATAAAGGGTTATAATGCAAGGTGCTGAGTTGAAGTGTTTAGTGTGGCGGCGAACGAATCCCAGAAGACGTAAGGCCTAACAAGTGATATACTCAATATGAGGTCTGAAGGAAAGTGAGGAAGTATATATTATACCTAGATCCTTTACTTCAGACACTCGAGTTAGGGGTGAGTCATTATAAGTATATACGTGATCCACTGGAATCCGTGATCTGGAGAATGATATGATTTTACATTTATCAAAGTTTAGGGCAAGGCCGACAGCCTGACACCAGTTAATAAAATTATTGAATGATGATTGAAGGACGTCACAATCTGTACTGGAAGATATCCTGGAAAACAGCTTAGCATCATCAGCAAAAAGAAGTAAACGGACCGACGGGACATTGCTAAATATTGAATTAACAAAAATATTAAATAGTAATGGAGATAAATGTCCACCTTGCGGAATGCCAGAAGAAACCTTAAATTTACTTGACGAGATATTGAACAACTTCACATATTGCCATCTATCCACTAGGTATGAGCGAATCCATGATAAAAGAGAATGGTAATGGTAATGTTAATGGTATATTTAAAATCTAAACAAATAAACATTGAGATATATACATCTAACAATATATTATTACTTATTAGGCAAATCAATTTCTTTTTAATTATTAACATTTACATGCGGTTAATTAAAACAGATTACCAATCCCGTAATCATACAGCCACTCATGAAGCATATAAAAAAACCTGTAAATCAGTGCTATTTTTCCGAATTCCTTCAGCCGGAAATCGGCGGTTTAAACAATCAAACATATCATTTAACTGCCTAGTAAATATCTCAGTTTCATAGGAATCTTTTAGATTTTTTGTACCCCTTTCCCTATAAAACTTCATCCCTACTGCAACAGAAGAGCTAAATAACTAGAAAAAAATAATGATATCATAACATTTATTATAGTTATTACCAGGGCTCGAGACTTCTAGCATTTGCATATTTGTTTGTAGAACAATCAAAGATAGCAGAGTAAGCTACAAATCCGTTTCATACTAAAAGGAACGCAGCTTTAAAAGTTTTTAGTGCATATTTTTGCATATTTTAATGTATTTGAATTTTTTCTGCTATTTTTATAAGTATCATGCTATTTTTTGCATATAATTTATTAATCTGCAAAAATGAAGTAGTTTTGTGGTTTGTACTCAGTGAGCGGCAAGTATTAGTTTAAATTCCCATTTTACAAAAGTAAAATGTAAAAACGTGTAGACGCTTATTCGTCTTTACACCGTCAATAGGTATAAAAATAATATAATCTAAGTTCATCGACACCATGTCGTTACTCGCCAAGTGATCTATATTTTATTGTCTACCTATAGATAAAATAATTACAGTTATATGGGTAATACCATGTTTATTGTATCTCGTATCTTAATCGTATCTTTGAAGAACACGTAATGTAGATTGTAAAGTCCGTTATTGTGAATTTAATATTTAGTAGTCTTCAATCTTGGAAAGTCGACTAGTAATTGTGATCGTCTGCATTCGTATAACCGTGCGTGTAATT